GCCTTTTTTTATATATATATTTTTTTTCAACTGGAGTACAGTTGATCCATGAAGTTTCAGTTTCATTTTGAAATGTGCCCTGGGAGAATGTGCTGTAAATGCCAACATATTCAGCAGCATGAACTCAAGATGATATCAGCTTGTAATGGCGTTCTATTGCCAGTGACTTCTACCAGGTCCTTTTTTTAAAAAGGAAGGATAGAAGAAACGGCTTAGAATTTTGTTTATCACGCATTCCCTCAGAGGAGCAGAATATAAACTACTATCTTCCTTCCTCATCTTTGGTGCCTTCTTTATTGAATATTGTCAGGCAGGGATTCTGCTGGTGTATTTACTGTTGACCTCAGTCAGCGGTAACATGATTTCCTTGCTGACTAAAGAAAATACAAAGCTGAAAAAGGACATGCATTTTGATTGGCAAGCAATAGGTACATCAGTCTTTAGACTTCTAGATTATTAAAGATACTGCTGAATAAAGTGTGCAGTTGCCATCTTGCAATAAACGTAATTCATTCCCCCTCCTTCTTCCAGAAACACATTCAATTTTAAAACTAGCTTTGTGTGAAATGACTGCATTAATAAAATGATGACAACATATATTACAGGGCAGGTTCATAGGCAATGTAAATCAGCACAAATCAGCTGAAAACAATGGACATTTCTGTCTGCTAAAATATATCCCTTTTATCTTGGCTGTGTTAGGCAATTTGTTAGAATATGTGATAAAATGTGCCTAAATAGTACAGGTAAGGTAGTAACATGATAGGTATTTGACAAAGCAGCCCCTGAGAGAAGGTGCATTTTTCATGACATCAGAAGCTAGTTCCCTTGATGACGATAACAGATAGGTTTGCTCTATGTTATCTTGTACATAATTATTTTCCACTTGAAAACCCTACCTAATTTCTTTCTGTTGCTATGCATCATTATCTAAATATTTTTGTTACCATTTCAATACCATTTCCATTCCGTTGCTCCTTCTTTTATCTCAATTGTTTTGTCTGACATCATCTAACTGAATATTAATCTTACTCTCCATACAACTTTTAATAACTACCCTCGTTTCAAGCACCACATCTGTGATAAATACACAGGATCCAATGTATTATTATTAAGTGTTGAGTAGGTGCCTTGGTGCCTGCAACTTCTGCAGGAAAGTAGAGGAGCCTGTATTGTTCTGAAGAAGCACCTCCGAGAACCAGCTTTGAGGTTTACTTGCTGACACTTAAAAATAATGGAGTTGTTTACTCAGTGTCTTTCCCCCCCCCCCGCCCCGAGCAATAAGCATAAAAGACCCTGTTAGGTTTGTGTTTCCAGGGGGTTTATTTTTCTCTACTCTCTTTTTTTTTTCTCTTCTGAAAGTAAAAGTTTATTATTTTTATTGATTGGCCAATTAGAAAAACTGGTGGCTGCTTACCTGTTAGAATGGAAAGATTAGATTACAGAGCCTCAGGAGCAAGCTCAGGCTGAGTCATGAAGAGACATGAAAGGGTACAGTGGCAGTTAAGTCTCCTGGCACATGAAGGAGTGTAAACCATTGATCACAATACGAAACGCTGAAAACTGAAAAGGAATCCAATTTATTCTAAATAAAACTACTCTGTTCTTCAGTGACAGATTCCAGAGTCAGACACCAGAGAGGAACTGACAGCAGATGTTTTAGAGCCAAGACACAGAGAGGCTGAGTAATAGTATAGAAAAGAAATTGCTTTGAACTTCACCCCTGCTTTAAATACTTCAAATCAATAGGGTCACAGAGCTCTTTAATAGAGTGATGAGGTCTTGCCCCAGCAGATCTTCACAGTGACAAGTTGATGTGCTTCCTAGCAGCAGAGTCATAAAAATTTCAGGCTTCCTTCTGAAAGGGGGCTTTGTATTAGCGGGGTCCATTTGGAGTAACTCCCTTGTATGGCCGCTCTCAAAAGCTGAGCCCTAATAGTCTACATCTAAATGGGACTGACCTCATGAATTACCTCAAGAAACTTAATCTATAAACTGGCTTCTTCTTATGCAGACTGATGAATTCTTGTTTATTCCTAAATGGCTGTCACAAAACCTATTCATCAAGCTCTTAACGGGGGAGAGAGTCTCACATAATCCTGCTTCAAGTGCGGCACCATTAAATAATCATTAGACTTCATTGCTGGTCTTGAGACCCACTCCAAATCCACAAAGCAAGCTTTTTACCATTCATCAGAACTGCATTTAGATGAGATTTTGACCTGATAAAAAAGGGTGTTTTTTGTCACTATCAGTTTCATGGCTGTGCTCTTTCTCCTTTCAGAGGCTGTGGTGAGGTTTATTTTTTTTTCCCTTTCCTTAACAAAAGTAAAAGAAAATAAAGGCAGATGGCCAACTCTTTCCAATATCCGTTTGCTTTATTTGAGCAGTTTAATGTAGTGAAACAGAGTGAAATGTTGCTACTTGCTAAATGGTAAACAACGCCATTACCCAGAATTCAGCAGCAGACTGATACAAAACAGGGTGCTGGTGATTAATTAAACTGTTGTTGTAATTGTAATGCATGATACATAATAGATAGTGTGCTGTGTGTTTTAAAAGCTGTAAATTAGCAAAGAATAACTTCCTTACATAGCAGATCTCCATTCCATGTTGTTAATGCACAAATAATCAAAAATAAAAGGTCATTACTGTCAACTAATAAAAAGAATGTCTTTTGATTTTCCTTACCCTGTAACCATGTGCTGGAGAAGTTGCATATTGTGGGACAGCAGATCATCTGTCCCTCTTGGGTACAAATGCACCATATTCATTATTACTCAATAACAATTAGAATGATGAGCCTAGCTGAGAAATTTCAAGATCTGGTTCTGAGCTGTTATAATCCCAATTATCATCATCTTCCCCAAAAAGGCTCAAAAAGTTCTTGTTCTACAAATAGCTGCAAGGGGATACTCTCGTTCACGTGGTGAATTCAAGCTCCATGCAGAGATAGATTGAGGTTACTTTCTCTATTCTTTGTCATACTGAAGCATATACCTTACTTCAAGACTGATAGTGTCACTTGTTATAAGAGGACAATGCTTGTCTTCAAGTTTAAACATGTGCCTGAATGCCTAGCCAAACTTGGCCTAAATCCCTGTCATGTATCAGGTTTGAGCGGATAAAAAAACAAGCTTAGCCTGCTGAATTTTTTTCCTGTTTACTCAGTTATCTGTCAATCAGGGCAGAATGTTCTGATTCTAGATTTTCTCATTCACCACCAAAGACATGAGACCCACTCGAGTGCCTCTCCTCTGTGGGCTCTGAGCCAGGTTACTGCAGCCTCTCTTCTATGAGCAGTGTTTATGGTACCTGTCTTCCCTACATAATGTAAAGACCCTAGCCACATACTTATGTGGTTGCTTAGTTTCTGCTCAGTTCTTGGTTAGTGACTAAGAAGGAGGAGATAGTTGAGGGGAGATCGTGAGGGATAGAGGATGGAAATGAAGCATAACTGCTGCCCATGTTTATAGAATGAGGTTCACAGGATTATGTGTCTCAGAGAAATTTAATCAGATTCTGTGAGTACGTGATGTACTGAACTGTCTTGTGTGCATAAGAGATGCACACAGGTCTTGACACTCATATTTATTCATACAGGATTCTGAAATGGCATGACTTTAAATATAGCATAAAATCCAAGGATAGTAATAAGGATGGAGGATAATAGTGGAGCCTGATGCCTTAATTAATGCAAGTTAACCCTGATTTTTAAGAAATGGCAAGTTCTTCTGCCTACACCCATGCTGCTGCCATCCTCTTCTGTGTGGAGAGGTGTGAATCCTTGGCCAGAATGCAAATAAAGTGCAGCCTTAGTCTGGCTGCACACTGCTGTTAGAGGGTAGGATAAACATCCTTCTGCTACCTTTTTATATCCTCCCTGCTATTTCCATGATCTAAAGATGTGTTGTTTACCCATGTCATTTAGTTATTTATCCTTCTTCAACTCTTTCTTTGCTTCATCCTATGAGCTATGTGGGAATGCCTGTAATATCTTTTCTGAATATTATATGTTCTAGCTGTTTTTTGGAGTGCTATTGCATTGCTTACAATGCTACAAGGTGTTGATCCCAGGAGCCACCTGAGATGCAGCCCATCATTATTTGTAGCTTTCGACTAAAACCAAAGCATCACCTCATCACCCCATTCTTCTGCTCTCTGCTTTGGTGATTTGGCACTCTTCTGTTTCTCTTCCTAATATACTGAGTTTTTTGTGTTTCCAACACTTTCTGCATTCTTATCTGGCTCCTCAAAAGAAACACCTTCCAGAAGTATTACTTGAATAACTGTCCAGTTTCTTGCCTTATCTTCCTCCTTCTGTATGAGTCCTATATCTTAGTTTAGGTTGCACACTGCTTTACAGAGGAATTGCATTAACCCTGAATTTTTAGCTTGTCATAAGCTTAGGCTAGTCAGTGTTTTCTCATCATTTTTTCTCAGCTATAGTTTCCATTAATTCTAAACTTTCATTTTGTTCTTTTCATGCTTTTCACATGGATATATGTATATATCCATGCCTCTATACTGCAAGTTTGCTGCTTTTTTTGACTACATTAGACTGGCTAAAAGACTGTTTTGTTCAACTAGTGCTAAACATAATTGGAATACAATCAAAAAATTGCTATTTCTTAGTAGCTAAAAAACTATTGACATAGTCTCTTTCAATCACCTATATTTACCACATCTTAAAGATGTACTAAAGTCTGTCTTGAGACATCTGTAAAATTGCATTATGCTTTCTGGAATTAAGTGATTTAGGGAGTGGATAATAAGAGACATCAGTTTACCAAAAAAAGCACTGACTTGCTCAGGCATTTGTGATCTAGAGCAGCCCTGTGGATAAGGACTTGAGGGTGTTGGTCGATGAGAAAATGAACATGAGCTGGCTTCAGTGTGTGCTCACAGCCCAGAAAGCCAACTGCATACTGGGCTGCATCAAAAGGAGCGTGAATAGCAGGTCAAAGGAGGTGATCCTACCCCTCTACTCTGCTTTGTGAGACCTCACTTGGTGTACTGTGTGCAGTTCTGGTGTCCTCAACATAAAAAGGACATGGAACTGTTGGAAGAAGTCCAGAGGAGGGCCACAAGGATGATCAGGGGACTGGAGCACCTCCTGTATGAAGACAGGCTGAGAAAGTTGGGGCTGTTCAGCCTGGAGAAGAGAAGGCTGCGTGGAGACCTCATAGCAGCCTTCCAGTATCTGAAGGGGGCTTATAGGGATGCTGGGGAGAGACTCTTCATTAGGGGCTGTAGTGACAGGACAAGGGGTAACGGGTTAAAACTTAAACAGGGGAAGTTTAGGTTGGATATAAGAAGGAAATTCTTTCCTGTGAGGGTGGTGAGGCACTGGAATGGGTTGCCCAGGGAAGTTGTGAATGCTCCATCCCTGGCAGTGTTCAAGGCCAGGTTGGACAGAGCCTTGGGTGACATGGTTTAGTGTGAGGTGTCCCTGCCCATGGCAGGGGGGTTGGAACTGAATGATCTTAAGGTCCTTTCCAACCCTGACTATTCTATGATTCTATGATTTGCAGGAGTGTGATTTGACTCTTAAGTGTGGAAATTAAAATGGTACTGAGCCCTCAAGTCCTTAGCTGTACAGGAATGCACATGCTCTTCTTAGCAGGCAAGTACAAGAATAAAGAGGTGTTTCCTGGTCCATGAAAAGCATTCGCAAAAATGCCTGACTAAACTAATATTTACTGTGTAGGAAAACCGTAGAAAATGAATAAGCTTTAGTTTGATCTCTTAAAAAGGTTGTTGAAAACTGTTTATGCTTTCTTTTGACCACTATTAATATAATAAGGTACTTTCAAGGCAATTTAGGCCTCTCCTATAGTCAACAGCCTCATAAGTCTTGATGGATTGGTTTAGCACCTCCAGCTTCTGTAACTCCAGCTTCTCCCCCTCTCTATGTTCCACTCTTTTAATTAAGAACTGTGTTGATCTTTAAAAGTGTTGTTTTGTTGTGTTCTTTTGCTGTTTTGGGGTTTTGTTTGGTTTTGTTGGTATTTTGTTGTTTTTTTTCTGTTGTTCCCCCCCCCCATTTAATAGGCTGTTTTCAGTGCCATTAACCCTTGCTTTCCTTGTTTTCTTTTTCTCCTTCATAACTGTATTAAGTGTGGTCCATTTTCAGCAAGATAATACTGCCTACCCAGGGAGTAATCTTGAATTCTACACCAAGAGTGCTAAATCCACCTAGGGGATTTTCAGCATCACTTATCTGAGCTAATGTATCAGGTTGTCAGTTCCACTCTGTGTGAAGGTCTGGTGTATTTTTAATGGACATCTCAATCTTGCATCACCTCAAAGGCATGGACAGGGAAAAGTGTGTAAAGGTAACTGTTAACTAAATAAAAGTTATTTCTTTGGTTTGGTGACATGCCTATTAAATCATTGGATATCAGGCATTTTGTTACATAAAGTTTGCATGTGTTTATGAAGACTTTCTCTGATGTCACATATGACTTACCAGATAGATAGTAAGTGTAAGGAAAGAGAACAGCTAGAGAACAGTTGGATTTTGTTTTGTAACAGTGAGAAAAGGGAGTTCCATTCATCCAATTTAGTACTTGCCTCTCATATTCAGATCAGTGTCACTTGCTTAGTTTATATAAGCCCATGAAAAAAGTCTATTATGGAAAAGAATGCAAAGAAAAATTAAGTGGAAAATTATATATTCAATCCCTTGCCAATTTGAAGTGACTAAATGCCCAGATGATACCAGACTTAGTCAAAGTGTCATGAGAAACAGCTGCTTGACCATGATGATTTCATACTGAGAATTCCTGAGATCCTTGCAGTATTAAAGATTTTCACATGGTATGGTGGCATGATAAGAATACTACGTTATTAACTATCTTAGTAGTTTTGTGATGTGTTTGTTGGGAGAAATGTAATCCTTTTGTTTCCGTTGTACCTGGTATCTTGCTCTCTTGATAAAAGTCAGCAAAGGCATAAGTCCCTTAAAAAGCTGGTAGCCTGAGACATCTGAAGGACAATGCATGGTCATCACTTTCTATATGAAGAACCTGGTAATTGTGGAGATATTTTCTCCCTCACTTTGGACACAAGGGGTTTAAAGGCCTTTTCTCCTGATTTTGCTCAGCTGTCATACTGGTTTATAGATGAGTCATAAATGATGTTACATGAGGAAGGAAGTTACAATTCCTGGCATGAACTTCTCATGCCCGTGGCGAAGTGTGACCATCTAAGGAACAGCAAAGTTATGCAGTCTTAGTTTAAGGATGTTTGTAGAAAATTGGGGAATGTGAGGTGTGTGCAGCACAAATGTTTTCCTAATCAAATAGATTAGATCATTACCTCATGAGATCTGACACCAGCATAAGTGAAACTAAGATTGTTTTGTTGTGAATATTCTGCTTCACCATACCAATGGCTTCATCATTTGTACTGGACACCATACACACCTCTTCAGGGAGAGGGCAGCAACATCTAGATAGGAAGACTGGATTTTTTCCATCTTCCTGGATGGCTTCATGTCACAGCTTTTGTGTTTGTCCTGGGGGTTGCCATTGTCCCTGGAGGCAAGGAGACAAGTAGACTCACAGAGGGTCTCCTGAGGCCTCTGCTCACATTATTGGATGTTGGCAGTTGCAATCTAAATAGCTGTTGTCACTGGATCTCTTTTCTGGGAAGGAGGGTAGAGTTATGTGGCTGCACAAGGGTCAAAAACCGCATCAGGATTGTTGGTCAGGGAGCTCTGCATAACACTGAGTGAAAACATGAGTAAAAATTGTCCAACATGATTTTACTGGAAATGTCAGACTTAGCTGATCTTAAAGTATCTTTGACAAGCCAGTGTTTTTTTTTTTGTACTAGTAGCTGGAACCTGCTTTGAAGTGGCTTTGCTGCTTTTTTATACTGCAAAAGCTCAAAGGTCAGTGGATTTATCCATTTGAAGGTCTCTGTGGAGAGGTCAGCTCTGTTTCACTCCTCATTCAGATGAACATGAGGCGACTGCAGAGGTTAGTTAGAAGATAAGATTACAGTGTCTGCAGTGTTGAGAAGGTGTGCCTCTCAATGTCCCTATTATGGCTAATTCCATGTGAACAAACAACCCAATTCATGAGCAACCAGGCTTCAGTGAGATGGCCGTGATCAACACAGAAGTCATCCTGACTTATTCAGCGGTATAAAAGTATTAACTACCATCAGGTTTTCAGCACTTGAGGGGTCTGAGGTCATCTAGGTTAGCCTTAGGTTATGACCCCCTGGATGCCTGAGAAAGTTTGTGCTGAAAATTGCATTTCTGTCTCTGTGTTTTTTCATGTGAGCATAACCTTTTGTTTCAGGCATGAATCCTCTTCTGCCTATCCATGTAGGTCTGAGATCAGAGAACTGCAATGTGCTCTACTTGCAGCTATTCCTGGAGGGAATTTAAAAGCCTGAGCTATCCCACTTATCAAAGGCAGGGAACATTTAACACCACTGTGCCACAAACCACAGCAATTCCCTGTGGTCTCCTGGGTAGGATTCAAGGTGATGGCATTGACCTTTATAAACCTAAATGGTCTGGCCTAGCTTATTAGCGCCTTCTCTTCATGCAATACTCCACAACTGTGATTAGGAAAGGTTCAAACTGAAAGTGTTTTGGGACAATGTTTTGGTTGTGTAAAAGCTAACACTTTTTTTTTTTCCTGCAAATTCTTCCAAGCATATCGGGGGGGGGGAGTAGGGAAAGGACTAACAAGGGATTGATGGATTGTCCATCAGTAGGGAATAACACATTGTGAAAACATATTTCTTCATGACTTTGCCTGTTACTGGCAAGGAATTTCACTTGACTGATTGAGTTCAGATCATTAGCTCACTGGCTCAGCAATTCATTCAGGAGAGAGTAATTTTAGTTGCAACACTGGAAGAGCAACTATGTAAGCATTATTCTGCTATCACAAAGGCAGCCGGCTTCCAAATCTCTGCTTAGTTCCTAACACAAGACCTATTTCACAGACTATGTGGTGGTTTAGTATGTCTAGGGCAATGTGTAGCATAGGTAAACTCAGATGCTGCGGTGCACTGATCTTCCCTTGTCATCTCCATGCCTCAGTGGGACAAGGATGCAAATACAGGGCAACAGTGACAAATAAAGATCATTGGATGGCTATGGTAGAAGCAAGTCATTCAATTGCCTAAAAACAGGCACTTAAAAAAAGCCTGAATTCTGTTATTCTCTAACTGTTATAAATTAGAAATCTGTAACTCTTGCATTTTAGAGAAAAAATTATTTTACCCACAGGAAACTGCATTATTTTCTGTCATTCTCACTGATCACTTCCTTCTGAAGCTGGGTGCTCATGTAATCTGGTGCATCAGTCACAGCATGGAAAATGGTTTTGGACACAGGTTAGGTGTGGTATGCAATGAGAGAGCAGAGCAGTTTCCAATCATCATAAAGTTACTGTAGGGTGATTTCTCACCATATGCAAGTTCTCTTAAGAGAGAGTAGACACAGTATACCTTATATGTAAGTGTCAAGCACTGGATTACAATTGGCTTTAGCATCCTTCACAAGGACTCTGTGTGAGCTTGATAGTGGCAAAACACAGCAATGGAGAAGCTTACAAAGATTTGTCTGGGGCCTGGAAACCTGGTTAAGGAGGTTTGCTCTGTATGAGGCAGGGGCTGTCTCCAGTATGTTTGTGATAGTGTTTTGTAAAGCAGACTACCGTCAATTAGAAAAGGGAGGGACAAGGTAAAAGTATTATCTGAATACAATTGCTAATCCCACAGGATTCCTGGTTTGCTACTAAAGGTCTTTGGCCTACATAGTAGGAGCACATGTGCCTGGACAAGAGAAAAAATTGCACAGAGCCTTCAAGTTACTCAAGTTTATCTGAGTAGCAACAGCTCCTGAAGGAATGACAGAAATGTTATTTTCTTTCCTCCTTTCCCTGTTTATAGCTCTGACCTGCACTCCTTCAGCACTTCAAACAAAGGCAGAAGCTCTGTATTTGCTCTGCCTGGATTTTGTTATTCTAGGTTCCTTGTGTGACAGCAGTCTTCTCAGATTGCTTTTATCTGTGTTGGCTTGTAGAAATGTTAAACCTTGGAGCCCTAAGACCCCATGCACCATCAGAGCAACTATTATAGCACTTGTTAGCTTTCCAAGATATAAA